CTAAATCTCTTTTTCTGTGGTATAAGCCTCTTCTCATTTCTGGGTAAATATGATGAATAGTTACTGAGCAACTTATAAATGACATTTAACAATCTTACTTCCTTGTCTTATTTTAATGGGAAAAGGGCTTATTTATTCCAGGAGAGCAAATATGTGATTTGTTGTATAAAAATTTTGAAATGAACTTTGGCAAGTGATAGGTTAAGTCATGGTTGAGACATGGTTAACCTGCTGCCAGCCCCACCACTGAACACTTGGTTATGAGAGTCACTGACTGAGTCTATGTCCTGTAGGCTTGGCATTTGACACTCAGAGACATTCCCAGCTGGGAGAAACCATAAGCAATGAGTGTGCCTGTCCCACCCCACCGCTAACTGCAACCCAGAGGGAAAGCAGGCCTCCCACTTTTTAGGTGCTTCCACTGACTACATCTACCTGGTTTACGTGTAGTTCAATAAACTCACAAGTTAAGTGTGATGATACAGCCCAGGCATTTGGTGATACTTTAAGCTTCTTGGCAACACTTGTAGAATCTTTGGCAACTTAGGCAGGTAGCCAGCACGATTGCCCACCAACCTCATGCTTTCACAGTTCCAAGTGAAAAACGAATTTGATGATAATAAGAATCAAAAAGGTGCATATATGAGTTGCTTTAATAAAAAAGAAAAATTTAATCTTTTACTCAATATTTTATATTTAAGAATATTGTCTCTCAATTATGCAGTGCCTCCTATAATTTTAAATGTGCACACTTTATGTCTTGGACATTCTACTTCTCATTCACACTCAGACACCAGGAGGTACCTTCAAAGATGCTCACAACAACCTTGTTCATAGTAGTCAAAAATGACAAACTATTGAAAAGTGTCCCTCAATAGAGGGACAATTATATAAATTATGGTATAGCAATAAGCTATATAAATTAAATGATGTAAATTTTTAAAAACTGACACAAAAAATACCTTCAAGATATACTGTTGAGTGCAAATAGCAAACTATAAAACTATAGAACAGTATGAGAATTTTCTTTAAAAGACTACATGTCATATTTTACATATATGGAGATGTATACAAGTCCATAGTAAAATTTAGAAGGATAAATGCCAAACTGATAAAGTGGATTTTGCTGGTAGCTGTGGCTGGTGGTCAAGTAGAACTCTAGTCCTTTCTATGATGCTTTACCTTTACAATTAAAATGTGGTTGCAGTGGTTGTGGCAGAATTAGAAGGTAGCCCTTGAGGAACTCTTCTCCCTAGTCTACACATCTTGCATAGTCCCTGGAGTGGTGAATTTGATGGATATTATGTCCATGATTAGATTATGTTCTGAGGCACAGTAGCCTTTAGGAAAAGGAGGAGCTTCTCCCAGGTGGGTCTAATGTAATCACATGAGCCCTTACCATCTGTCTAGAAGTCAGAGGTGGAAGAAGTCAGAAATTCAAAGTAAGAAGGGTATTCTATTTGAGGAATTCTCCCTGTTGGAGGGGGACACATGTCAATGGTTACAGACAGCCTTTAAAATCTGAGAAGAGCCCTTGCCAACAGCCAGCAAACAGGGACTTCAGTCTTATGACAGCAAGGAACTGCACCAATTGTGTGACCTTGGAAGAGGAATCTGAGCTCTAGACGAGATGAGCAGTCTGGCTGACACCTTGACTTTAGCCTTATGATACTCTGAGCATTGAAATATGCATAATTTATTACTGGGGCATTCTACTTCTCATTAATACTCAGACACCAGGAGAACACAGCCACACCATGCCCAGACACCTGACCTACAGAAACCATCAGATAATAAATGGATGTTATTTTAAGCCACTAAGTTGGTAGTAATTTGCTATGTGGCAATAGAAAATGAATACAAATGCATTTGAGTATTAGTTGTTTAATGAAAAATAATGAGATGTTATCATAATTAAAGTTGAGCTATCCTTAATAATTTTTAGTAGGTTATGAGTATTAATTGCACTTACAAAATAGATCGTGGGAGCTGTGCATCATTTGTCATAGAAGAGAGTAGAGGACTTATGTGTGGATTGGCTTTAGGCTCTCAGAAACTGCCCTAGGCTACCAGTGTACTGTGGGTCCACGTCTTGAGAATCAGCACATTAGAGATCTTCTAATCCAAGCCCCCAGAATGGTCATCTAGTTGGATTTAGAGTCCTCAATGCTGACAGGGAGCTCGTTGCTGCGCAAGGGTCTTCATCCCGTTTCAGACAACTCTAATTGCTGTAAATTTATCTCTTAGAATTTGTCTTCTTGCCACCTTTATGTTGGACATGTGCTTAACCATGGGGACTGCATGAGCTCTCTTATAAATACTCTAAAACTTCATTCATGTGTGCCTTAACCTCAAAGTTGAACATTTCAAATAGTCTTCTTATTCCTCAAAATAAAAAACAAAATATAAAACATTCTGCCTCTACAGGGCTCTCATTCTCATTGGATAAGTGACTCTACTACATAAACTGAGTATTAATTTCTCAGGATCATCCCTCAGTGGAGATCCACATTTCCCAAGTGTTTGGAGGAGCTCTGTGTCAAAACAACCATGTGACTGAAAGTTTTATGAATCACTGGAAATGTACTTTCAGTCCTATAAGAATAGGAGAAAGCAAAGGTTTTTCCAAAATAAGAACAAGTCATTTCCACTTTAGTTAGCAAATGTTTCATATTTGACTGCTTACACAGTACTGTTGTGGCCACAGCCATGGTAGAGGGTAGATCCAAAGTATCTCAGAAATGAAAAGAACTGGAAGCTTTTACAATCTAATCACCTTCCCAATACTTTAATTCTTTTTAAAACAACCTTGGCTTTTGCTTGAACATATCTGCTGACAAGGAATTCATGACTCAGTGAGTCATCCAGGTCTATTTTATTTATTTATTTTTAAATTGACAAAGAAAAATTGTATGTATTTATGGTGCACAACATAATGTTTTGAAACATGTATACACTGTGCAATGGCTAAATCAAGATAATGAGCACATACTTGCCATTTTTTTTGCAGTAAAAATACTTAAAATCTACTAAGTAATTTCAAGTATATAATTCATTGTTATTAACTGTACTCATCAGGTTGTACAATAAATCTATTGAACATATTCTCTGTCTCACTGAAGTTTTATATCCTTTGATCAAAATATCCCCAGAACCCTCACAACAACCCCATCCCACCAATCCTTGGTAATTACCATTCTACTCTCTGCTTCTGTGAATTTGACTGTTTAAGATTCTATATATAAGTGAGATACAGTAATTTTTTTTTCTGTGTCTGGCTTATTTAACATAGTGTTCTGCAAGTTCATTCATGTTGTTACAAATGACAGGATGTCCTTCATTTTTAATGTTGAATGGTATTCCATTGTGTATATATACCACATTTTAAAAATCCATTCATCCACTTGAACACTCTAGGTTGATTCCATAAAAAATTGAAATCTGTTTTCTTTTAACTCCTTTAAATTTATGATCCCTGTTCTGTCTTGAGTCCAAACATAGATTTGTCTAATTCATTTTCCTTTCAGGCAGTTAAAGTTAACTGTCACATTCCCTTAAGTCTCCTGTTCTCCAAGGAAATATCCATAATTCTTTTACATTTAATTAAAGGAGTCTAAGGTGATAGAAAGTGTGTGTGTGTGTGTGTGTGTGTGTGTGTGTGTGTGTGTGTGTGTTTGCATGCCTGTTTTATCCCAGGTCCTCTTCCTGTTGGATAGACCTACTATGGTGAGTGGGCAGCATGTTACTCTTCAAGAGCATGGCAGGCTTTTGCTCTGGCCCTCACATGCCAGAATGAAGTCCTCCTGGCACACTCCTGAGAAAGGACAACTCCAAAGGAAGGAAATTCTGTCATTTGCAACAATATGGATGGAACTGGAAGACAATATGCTAAATGAAATAAGCCAGGCACAGAAATACAAATATTATATGATCTCACTTACATGTAGAATCTAAAAAAGTTAATCTCATAGAAATAGAGAGTAGAATGGTGGTTACCAGGAGCATGGGGGGAGAGATAGGAAAAGGAAGATGTTGATTAAAGGGTACAGAGTTTCAGTTTGACTGGAGCAATAAGTTTCAGTGACCTACTATGCTGCATAGTGACCACAGTTAATAATGTATTATATATTTCAAAGTTGCCAAAATTGCTTTTTAACATTCTCACCACATACAAGCACATGATAAGTTGGTGTAGTGATAGGTCTGTTAATCAGCTTGATTACATCTTTCTATGATGGACACATAGATCAAATCATCTCATTATATCCCATAAATATACATAATTGTTATTTGGTCAATTAGAAAAGAGAAAAGCTAACTGTTGACCTCTCCAGAGTCCTCAGGGCAGATGGTTCCCTCAGGGCAGATGGCTCCAACAGAAAGTTGGCTGAAGTTTAGGGGTGAAGGTAGCTGCTATTATTACTAAATATATACATTTTTCTTTTTCTCAGAGAGTATTTTTTTTCTAGAAGCCAGCCAACAGATTTCCTTTTCTATATCTTTGGCCATAACTGGGTACCCTGATCCCTGCTACCTTAAGCCCCATTACTTGTTGAATAACTGAATGGATTCTGCATTAGTTCATTCTCACATTGCTATGAAGAAATACCTGAGACTGGGTAATTTATTTAAAAAAAGAGGTTTAGGGCGGTCGGTTAGCTCAGTTGGTAAGAGCGTAGTGCTGATAAAAAAAAAAAAAGAGGTTTAATTGACTCACAGTTCTGCATGGCTGGGAAGGCCTCAAAAATTTACAGTTATGGTGGAAGGGGATGCAAGCATGTCCTTCTTCACTAGGTGTCTGGAGAGAAAAAGTACAAGCAGGGAAAATGCCAGACACTTAAAAACTATCTGATCTTTTGAAATTCACTCACTACCATGAGAACAGCATGGGGTAGACTGCCCCCATGATCTAATTACCTCCACCTGGTCCTGCCTTTGACATGTGGGGATTATGGGGATTACAATTCAAGATGAGATTTGGGCGGGGACACAGCCAAACCATATCAGATTCCTATATCAGTTCACAAACATTCTATTTTATATACTGTAATTCCTCTTTTTAATGATCTCAATGTATTTTAATGATACATGCTAAATATAGTCCTCACATGTCATATTAGCAGCCAGTGACCACAACTGCCTGGCTGAATGGGATAAAGTCCTAATTCTCTGAAGATAGATGCCTACCTGAGAACATGGATTGGCAAATGGCTGTAGCATGCACAACCTGTCAAACAGTCTCAGGTGGCCAGGCTATTCAAGTTCCCAGCTGATGTCTTTTCTTCAGCCAGATAAAATTTGGCTTTTGGTCCCTGAGAAAGTATTTATCTTGAAATCACTGTGCCCATGCTCAGCCCAACTTTACAAATATATTCTTTAGTTAAAATCACAACATTAGAAAAATATGTAACTTTGAAAGTGAAAGTGTCCTGTGATTCCAGCTGCAGAAATAACACAGCGTTAACAGCATGGTATAGTTTTTCTTAATTATTATTTTAAGTTCTGGGATACATGTGCAGAATGTGCAGGTTTGTTACATAGTTGTATATGTGCCATGGTGGTTTGCTGCACCTATCAACCTGTCATCCAGGTTTCAAGCCCTGCATGCATTAGGTATTTGTCCTAATGCTTTCCCTCCCCTTGCTCCCCGCTTCCTGACAGGCTCCAGTGTGCAATGTTCCCCTCCCCATATCCATGTGTTCTCATTGTTCAACTCTCACTTATGAGTGAGCACATGCATTGTTTGGTTTTCTGTTCCTTGTTAGTTTGCTGAGAATGATAGCTTCCAGCTTCATGCATGTCCCTGCAAAGGACATGAACTCATTCTTTTTTATGGCTGATTAGTATTTCATGGTGTATATGTGCCACATTTTCTTTATCCAGTCTATCACTGATGGGCATCTGGGTTGGTTCCAAGTCTTTGCTATTGTAAATAGTGTTGCAATAAACACATGTGTGCATGTGTCTTTATAGCAGAATGACTTGTAATCCTTTGGGTATATGTCGATAATTACTGGGTCAAATGGTGTTTCCGGTTCTGGAATCTTGAGGAATTGCCACACTGTCTTCCACAGTGATTGAACTAATTTGCACTCTCACCAACAGTGTAAAAGCATTCCTATTTCTCCACATCCTCTTGAGCATCTGTTGTTTCCTGACTTTTTAATAATTCCCATTCTAACTGGTGTGAGATGGTATCTCATTGTGGTTTTGATTTGCATTTCTCTAATGACCAGTGATGATGAGCTTTTTTTCATTTGTTTGTTGGCTGTCTTCTTTTGAGAAGTGTCTGTTCATATCCTTCATCCACGTTTTGATGGGATTGTTTTTTTCTTGCAAATTTGTTTAATTTCCTTCTAGATTCTGGATATGAGCCCTTTGTCAGATGGATAGATTGCAAAATTTTTCTCCCATTCTGTAGGTTGCCTTTCACTCTGATGATAGTTTATTTTTCTGTGTAGAAGCTCTATAGTTAATTAGATTCTATTTGTCAATTTTGATCCTGATAGATTTTATTAATATACACTAACATGTATACACACACATATATATTATAGGAATATATATATATATATATATATATATATATATATATATAAACACACAAAAAAAGTAATATAATAGAGCTTCCAATCATGAATACTGACCCATATATTACTTTTTTGGGTCAGTATTGGTCCTTGGAAGCTCTGTTACATATCAAATGTGATAGCTACTCTCCAAAGGTGTCTCCCAGTGAACCATATCTCCTGATATTGATGTCACATCACATTGAATCAGCACTGGTGTTGTGACTCACATTAGCCAAGAGAATGCAAGAGAAGAGTCACTGTGCCAGTCTTCAGAAGACCTGGTGACTTCTGCTTTTGCACTCTTGGGAGTCCTGAGCCATCATGTAAGAAGCTCAATGACTACTGGAAAGACCACAAGGAGAGACCATGTGGAAAGGTAGTAGACAAGGAGAGGTCCTGAGACCACATGGAGAGAATGGCCTAATTTGCCAGTGTTCCTGCTGAAGCCCACCTTCCATTCTTTTTTGTTAAGGCCACAGACATGTGAGTGAAGCCATTTTGAATGTTCCATTCCCAGCTGTGACTGGACCCCAAGGGTGAGCATCTGAAGAACTATCTAGCTGAGTCCCACCCAGTCAAGCAAGAAAACTGTAAGAAATGTTATAAGATAAACATTGGCACATTAAAATTCTAGAGTTTCACTTATAAGTCAGAGCTGAACAGTGAGAACACAGGGACACTAGAAGGGGAACAATACATGCTGGGGCCTGTTAGGTAGGAGGGTGATGGGGATGTGGATCATGGGGAGGGAGAGCATCAGGATAAATAGCTAATGCATGCAGGGCTTAATACCTAGATAATGGGTTGATAGGTGCAGCAAATTACCATGGCACATGTTTACCTATGTTACAAACCTGCATATCCTGCACATGTATCCTGGAATGTAAAATTAAGTTAAATAAAATTAAAAACTCCTCAAATTTAGAGTTTGTTGGAACAGACAGAAAATCGTGAATTGAACAGCTTCAGACCCCAAGTGGTTCAGTAATTTGCCAAAGGGGCAGATGAGGAAAGCTTTTATAAGGTGAACATAAAAGCAAGGCAAAGAAAATATTTGTTTGGTTAAAGTAGACTTATTTGGATCCTTTCAATGGAAAGTCCCTAGTGAAAGGTTAGTTGGCAGTTTCTGTCTGGTTAAGACTGGTTACACTGAATCTAATGGCTTCCCAATTAGTTATGTTAACAGAAATAATAAAATATTATTTTAGGCCACTATGTTTTATGGTGGTTTGTTATATATCAAGAGATAACTAAAATAGTGATACAAAGACTACCACCCAAATTGAGAACTGGGACACTAACAATGACTTACGTCTATCTACATGCTTCTGCTCATCCGATCACCCAGCCTTCTGCATAGAGGGAAGCTGGGTGAAAGGTACACAGGATTCCTTGTATTATTTTTGCACCTTCCTGTGAATGTATTATTATGTCAAGATATGAAGTTTTTTTATAGGAAAAAATGTAGTATGTTACTTAGCCAATAGTAATCATCAGTAAATGTTAGTTTCCTTTCCCTCATTTGTTCTCATCTCAGTCTTCTAGGGCTCAGGTTAAATGTAAAGTATGTTTGTTGGGGAACTCCAGGTATTAATCAATGAGGACTTCAAAAGAGGCTTGCCTCTTCCTTGCTGCCTCATGAGAAATGAGCAGAGGACAGAATAATCAGAAGCACAGGGCATAGGGCCTTGTTGTCAAGTCTAAAGGCTTTATCCTTCAGGGCTCCTGGAGTATGTGATGTTAGCTAGGCTACTGCTGCATGCAAGCTTCTGAAGGGTGTCATTAGTTCTTTAATTATCTCCCTTTCTGCAAATAAAGAGCAGGAAAATGCACTGGGCAGCTCTATTTATTCTGCCAAGGTGGCTTCCTGCATAGTCAACAAAATCAGACACCTGTAAATACTTTTATAATGCAGATCTGCACCGTAGGGGAAAACAGTTTAATTGCTGTAAAGTACTTTATCTGAGTGCTCTGCTTAATTTTCCATTACCCTGTGTGTCACCAGATCCTGCAGCACATTTCTTCCTCCCCTGTTCTCAACCTGGGCCATGGATGCTTAAATCAGGGTTTTCCAGGGGTACAGAACCAATAGGATATATGTACATATAGAAAAGGGACGTTGTTAGGGAGAATTGGCTTACATGATTACAAGGTGAAGTCCCACAATAGGCCATCTATAAGCTGGGCGGGGAGAGAAACTGCTAGTGGGTCAGCCGGAGTCTGCAAGCCTCAAAACCAGGGAAACCAATATTGCAGCCTTCAGTCTGTGACCAAAGGTCCTGAAAGCCCCTGGCAAATTACTGGTACAAGTCCAAGAATCCAAAGGGCAAACAACCTGGAGTCTGATGTTCAAGGGCATGAGGAACAGGAAGAATCATCCAGCACGGGAAAAAAGGCAGCCAGAAACTCAGCAAGCAACCTTATCTCACCTTCTTCTACCTGCTTTGCTGTATCCACACTGGCAGCCAATTGGATGCTGTCCATACCCATTGAGGGCGGGCCTTCCTCTCCCAGTCCACTGACTCAAATGTCAGTCTCCCCTGGCAACACCCTCACAGACACATCCAGAAACAATACTTTACCTGCCATCTAGGCATCCTTCAGTTCAATCAAGTTGACACCTAATATTAACCATCACAGACTCGGTGGAAAAATTTGCTGAATACCTGTTGTGTGCTGAGCACACAATAGCCCACAGAATAGCTATGTGCTATTACCTTAATTTTATAGATGAGAAAAAATAACGTCATCTTCTCATTCTCAAAAAGCAAATATAACAAGAACAAGAACAACAACAAAACCTAAATGCCATAATTTCATTGTGTAACAGATACAAAGTGAATACAGCTGACAGTAGATCATGGTCTGAAATAAAGAGTAATTACATTAAGATATAATATATCTGACCCACGATTCTTGCTGTCATCTCAGGAATGGAAGTGGGAATAGATCAAATCCCGGATGAGGCTGGGAATGAGAAGCAAATAAGCAGCATTGCCAAGATTTCATCCCACGTCCATTCAACTGTTGAGCCTGCAATGTCCTGTCTGCTCTTCCCCACCTCCTTTTGCATAGTGGTGGTAAAGGTCAAAGGGATTGGCTTGTTCTGGGTGGGCTAAATGTAGCATTTGTGACTGATGATTTACAATGTCCTTATTGTGACTTTATGAGTCAAGACTGTGTCATTGAGTCTTGTCATAGTGACAAGTATCCCAGTCTCAGAAAAAACAGAATTTCAGATAAGAAAGGACCCTCTATTTTAATGTTTATACTTCTATTACATATAGGGTGGGATCAAGGAAGATGGGAAAGCCAGAGGGAATAATACACTCAGGCTACCCCTTAGCACAGAGGGAGCTTGGCTTTTGGCTCAAATCCCAGCTCTGTTATTTGTTCTGAGATCTTGGGCCTTAGAAACTGCATGGCACTTGTTTTCGGTAAAATGGCTACCAAACAAAAGGCACTGTCTACTAATGCAGGGTTCCCCAAGTAGCCTAATAAAATCATTTCAAATTCAGATTTCCAGGTCCTTCCTCTAGAAAATTTCAGGCAGAAGAGTGGAGGTTTAGCCTAAAAAAAATGAGGTTGTCCAAGATGTATCATGTAGACTGAGACAGGTATACCTCATTGAGCTCAGTGTTATACAATCTAATGACAGCGTAGGCTTTGTCCGTCCCCCTCATTCAGGCACAGAGATGGTCGTTGTTAAAGATCCACAATGTCCTTCCACTCCCAAATCTCAGGTAGACTAATACTTGGCCAAAGCCAAATATTTTCCTGAATTTATTGCTGCAGAACCCAAATGTCTTGGAGAAATACATGAATAGGTCTTTAGAGCAGAAATAGGACCTATTCAGCTGGCATATAATTGAATATTTGAGACATATTGATCTGGAACTGAAGTGGAGGCCTGCACAGGAAAAAAGTGCTAACAAACACTAAAGATAAACTTAGAAAGAAAATTAAAATTTCTTACTATCTGTAGGAAATTAAAATAATAAAAGCAATTTCTAATGTTTATTGAGTACTTAGTCATTGCTGAAACTGCTTTCCATGAAAGGGAGGAATTTTTCTAATGGTAAAAATTAATTCTGTCTCTCTTTTTCACTGAAAATGCCTCAAAGAGCAAATGATTGCAGCCTGAAGCAGACTGCACCAATAGAAAAAACTGACCTTGGTATTGCCCTTTCAGAATTACACAAGACTTTAACTTTTCAGCACACAGCTTGCTGTACTCTCTGGTTTGATGGCAGAGGTTTCAAAAAGGAATATTTTACATACATGTCCTGTCCATCATCTTCTCATTCTCAAAAAGCAAATATAACAGTAACAAGAACAACAACAACAACAAAACCCAAATGCCATAATTTCATTGTGTAACAGATACAAAGTGAATACAGCTGACAGTAGATCATGGTCTGGAATAAAGAGTAATTACATTAAGATATAATGTATCGGCCGGGCGCGGTGGCTCAAGCCTGTAATCCCAGCACTTTGGGAGGCCGAGGCGGGTGGATCACGAGGTCAAGAGATCGAAACCATCCTGGTCAACATGGTGAAACCCCCGTCTCTACTAAAAATACAAAAACATTAGCTGGGCATGGTGGTGCGTGCCTGTAATCCCAGCTACTCAGGAGGCTGAGGCAGGAGAATTGCCTGAACCCAGGAGGCGGAGGTTGCGGTGAGCCGAGATCGCGCCATTGCACTCCAGCCTGGGTAACAAGAGCGAACCCCCTTCTAAACTCGTAAGATCGAAAAAGATATAATGTATCTGACTCATGGTTCTTGCTGTCATCTCAGGAATGGAAGTGGGAATAGATCAAAAGAACTCTAACACCCTTGGGGTAATAATTTTTATCCCATGCATACTTCACATTGGCACTGCTTTTGAATATGCTACCTGGAAGTGGGAGGAAGCTCCATTTAGCTGTAGATTACAGCTTTAGGCTGAATATTTACTTGAAAATCTGTACTTGTGTATTAAGCATAAGAAATGTTACTTTATGATAAAATTTCAATTATTAATAAATTATAAATAAAGTAGAAGAGGATTTTAAATATTCAAAAAATGAAAGAGAATAAAAGAATTCTTATAAATACCATGGAAATGGATGGCCTTTACCCACAAGGAGGACTGGAAGAATGGTCTGGAGAAGATAGTATTTCTCAGACTACTATCCTATGGGTGGTTGTGGCTGAATAAGAATCTAACGCTTTTACATAGCGTAATGCTACGTTCCTTAATGCTTTGTAAAAGTGCTTGAGATAATCAAAATGAAAAGAGCTCCAGGTAGTTGTAAATGTGACATCAGTGGTCTGAAGATGAAGAACTATACAGGTTCTACCTGATTCCAGTGGCATGCTCATGCAGGACTGGAGAACTGGTCTGCCTGGGATGGAAAAATGATATTCTGTGCATATGGAAACCTTATTTCAGACAAAATAGACTTTAAATCAAAAACAGAAAAGTTCACAAAGAAAGTTGTTAATTAATGATAAAGGGATCAATTCAGCAAGGGGCTACAACAATTATGAATATATGTGTACTCAATACTACAGCACCCAAATATATTAACCAACCAAATATTATAAGATCTGAAGAGAGAAAGAGATAGAGAGAGAAAGAGAGAGAGAGAGAGAGAGAGAGAGAGAGAGAGAGAGAGACCGACTCAAATAAAATAGTAGCTGAGGGCCTCAACATCCTACTCTCAGCTTTGGACAGATCATCTAGGCAGAAAATTAACAACGAAAAATTGGACTTAAACTATGCAGAGCACCAAATGGATCTAAGAGACATTTATGGGACACATTATCCAACAGCTGCAGAATGTACATTTTCATCTGCACATGGAATATTTTCCAGGTTCAACCATATGTTAGGATACAATTCTGAACAATTAAAAAATTTGAAGTCATATCAAGTATTTTCTCTGATCTCAATGGAATAAAACTAGAAATCAATAACAAGAGGAACTTTGGAAACTACAAATTCATGAAAATCATACAACATGTTCCTGAATGACCAATGGATCTATGATGAAATTCAGAAGAAGATTTTAAGAAAATATTGAAATAAAAGAAAATAGAAACACAATATACCCAAGCCTATGGGATATAGCAAAAGCAGTACTAAGAGGGATATTAATATCGATAAATGCCTACATGTAAAAAATTAGAAATATGTCAAATAAACAACCTAATCACACATCTCAGGGGACTAGAAAAGCAAGAACAGCCCAAACCCCAAAAGTAGTTGAAAAGAAATAAAAAAGATCAGAGTAGAACTAAAAACAATAGAGAAAAATGACTTAGAATATGCAATATCAATGCAATAAAAAATTGGTATGTAAAAAGATAAACAAAATGGATAAACCATTAGCTAGACTAAGAAACAGAGTATACCCAATTAAATGAAATTAGAAACAAAAAAGGAGACGTTACAATTGATATCACAGAAATACAAAGGATTATTGGAGACTACTTTGAATAGCTGAAAATGTATCTACAATGTTGGTGGTATAAGACACTTTGGCTTTCATTCTGGGTGCATGCAATGGTATAGTCTGTATAATTTATTTGGCTCTGAATGGTGTCAGTGGGATCTGATTTCCTTAGTGATTTAGGGTGTGGTTGTTAGTAGGAGTTGTGGTGAAGTTTTGCTAGAGATGGGGATATCAGGGGTGCCAGTCCTTGGGCCCCAATGATGGCATCCACAAGCTGAACGTGTCTGCCTTTGGACCCCAGAGTGGCAAACACTGGTACCTGTGTTATTGGGCCCATGTGGGCCAATTCTTGAGCTTACAGGTGGTTTTCTTAGGTGCAGGCAGTGGCAGTGATGAGCCAGGTGAGTGGGCAAGTCCTTGCATCACTGGGCAGTGGCTTTAGCATGGGCAATGGCAATAGCTGCGGTGGGACAACCTTCTGGTTCTCGAGAAGTCCATGCTGATGTTAGCGTTGGCTGCAATGGGCTGGGTGCATCATCTCCAGTTGAGCAGGTGGTGCATGCAGTTGGGTGCCCACTGTGATGGTAGCAGTAGGCAAGGTGGGTCCATCTTCAGGCCTCTGAGAGGAGTTTTCAGCTGACAATTGTGGTGGATGAAGTGGGGCAATCTCTAGGCCTGCAAATGGCATGCCAGACACTGGTTGGGGGTGGTGGAGACATGTCTGGCAGACATGTTCATGGGACTCCTGGTGGTACATATGGACACTGACTTTGGTGCACAGAGGTAGGTTAATTCCTAGGCTTCTGGTGAAGTGCTTCATTGAGGAAAGCAGTGGAGGTGATGAGTGGGGGTGCCTGTGTTCAGGACACATACAATTGCTCTGTATCCCTGCAGCTGGAGAGGGTGGGGCTGTTGTCAGAGGCAGCAGCCTAGGTAGGCACCTTGGGAGTGCCTAATTTAGCACCAGGCAGTGGTTGTGGGTGAAGGAGCTGTTCTCAAGGCACATCTAAATGTGCGGAGGCCTCACGGCTACAGATGGTGGGGTTATTGCACATGGCTAAACCTACCATCCCGATGGCAGCAACCAGCGTTGGTGGTGGTTGTGGGTGGGGGAGTCTGTCTTCAATGCACATGCAAATGTGTGGCAGTCACACAGCTAGGGGGAGTGGGTTACACTTTGGCCACAGTAGCAGCAGCCAGCAGTAGCAGCTTAGGTAGAGAAGCCTGTCCTCAGGGCATCTGCAAATTCATGTGGCCAGCCCCACTGCTGGGAAAGGAAGAGAGGCTGACACAGGGGTACACTTTGGCCATGGTGGCAGCCAGTGGTTGCAGTAACTACTGATGGGGATGACAATAGGGCTCCAAGGATGTGGAGATGCAAGGGCTATTGGGCTCTAGGGCAGGAGGCAGTCTGGTGAGGGCTGATCTCTCAAAATATCATGCTGTAGCTGCTTAGATCTTGCGGGAGGGGTATAGGACCCTATCTGAGCCCATCTCTGGAGTGATACTGCTGCATAATCTCCAGGCAGCAACTTATGTTAGTCTAGGGCCCATCAGGGTTGAGGGGGCTCTCCTGTGGCTAGGATTGCAGGAATTACTGGTGGGAATAGACTGCTGGGAATTTCTCACTTACTCTTTCTCTGAACTGAGGAGGCTCTCAGGGCTCCCAGCCAATCTTTGCTGGGCAGGCTGCTTCTCTTCCCTCTCCTTCCTTGCCTTTGGAGTTTTCTGTCACTTTCTGTTGAATTTCAGTGTTCTCTTAGGTGATCTATTCAAAGAATAATTATCTACTTTCTATTTTGGTTCTCTTTTGTGGAGGAGGCTAGTGCCAGATGCCTCTAGTCAGCCATCCTGTAGCCCCCAGAAAGATTTTTCCTTTTTTTTTTTCTCCTAAAAGGAGCAACTATATGCCAAGAAATGAGAAAACCTAGAGGAATGGATAAATTCCTGAACACATATTACCTATCAAGATTGAACTAGGATTAAACAAACAATCAAAAAAAAGAACAAAAAACAAAAAATCAAGGGAGAGTTTTTAAAAGAATCCTTTCAGAAGGGAATAAGTACTGATGTAGAAACTGAGCTTTAGTTCTCACACTGAAAATACATTAAGATAATTACAAAAAATTTAAAAAGATTGAATAGGATAGAATTTTTAAAACCCAAACAGATTAATAATGATTAATGAGTAATGATATTGAATCAGTAATAAAACATCCCCCAACAAAGGAAAGCCCAAGATCAGATGATTTCATTGCTAAATTCTACCAAATGTTTAAAGAATAACCACACCAATTATTCTCAAGATATTTCAAAAAAATTGAAGAATAGGCAGTTCTTCCTTATTCTACAATTACCCTCAAACCAAAACCAGATAAGGACACAACAACATTAACAACAACAAACTATAAGCCAATATCCCTGATGAAGGTAAATCACTATAATTAAGTGGGACATCCCAGGGATACAAGGGTGGTTCAATATACCCAAATCAATGAATGTCATATCAACAAAATGAGGGACAACCACATAATCATCTCAAAAGACACATAAAAGTCATTTGAAAAAATTCAACATCCCTTCATGACAAAATCTCTCAGCAAATTAGGCATAGAAGGAACATTCTTCAACACAATAAAGGTCATATATGACAAAACTACATATAACATTATACTGAGTGGAAAAAACTGAAAGCTAAGCTAAAACAAAACAAGATGCCCACTTTTACCACGTTTATTGAACATAGTATTGGAAGTTCTAGCCAGAGAATTTAAGTAAGAGAAAGACATAAAAGGCATTCAAATTCAAAAGAAGTAAGTCAAATCGTCTCTCCTGGCAGATAACAAAATCTCATATACAGAAAAAAAAAAAAGATTTCAGCATCAGCAACATCTCTTAGAAATGATAAACAAATTCAGTAAAGTTATAGGATACAAAATCAGCATAGGAAAATTGGTGGCATTTATAAAATCAGTAGCACTAATAACAAAATTGCTGAAAAACAAATTGAAAAAAGTAATTTATGATACCTATAAAAATACCCAGAAATAAATTTAATCTAAGGGGTGATAGAACCCTACAGTAAAAACTACAACAGAAATTGAAGAGAACACAAAATAATGGAAAGATATCCCATGTTCACAGTATGGAAGAATTAATATTGTTGAATGACCATACTATCCAAAGCAACATACAGATACAATGCAATCCCTTTCAAAATTCTAATGACATTCATCACAGAAAATCCTAAAACTTGTATGGAACCATAAAAGACCCTAAATAGCCAAAGCTATACTAAGCAAAAAGAACAAAGCTGGACCAGCACACTGCGTGAATTCAAAATTTACTAAAAAGCTATAGTAACCACAACATCATGATGCTGACATAAAAAATAGACACAGACTAATGGAGGAAGACAGTGGATACAAAACCCAGAGATACAGCTATAGATTTCCAGCCAATGGAGTTTTGACAAAGGCACCAAGATCATACATTAGGGAAAGGACAGCCACTTCAATAAATGGTGCTGGGAAAACTGGATATCCATATGTAAAAGAAGAAAACAAGACCCCCATTTCTCTCCATATATAAAAATCTACTCAAAATGAATTAAAGACTTAAATGTTCAGACCTGAAACTATAAAATAACTAGAATAAAACACAGGGGAAATGGTTCAGGACATAGGTTTTGGCAAGGATTTTATGGGTAAGACTTCAGAAGTATAGCAACAAACCAAAAGCAGACAGATGGGACTATATCAAACTAAAAAGCTTCTTCACAGAAAAGCAAACGATCAACAAAGTGAAGAGAAAACCTGTAGAATGGGAGAAAATATTTGCAAACTGTTCATTTGACAACAAATAACTAATATCAGAATATATAAGGAACTCAAAAGAATTTAACAGGAAAAACCCAAATAATCTTCTTGAAAAATGGGTAAATGATTCAAATAGACATATCTCAAAAGAAGACATACAAATGGCCAAGAGGTATATGAAAAAAAATGTTCAACACTACAAATCATCAGGAAAATGCAGTCAAAACCACAATATTATTTCTCCCTAATTAGAATGACTATTATCAAAAATATAGAAAATAACAATTGCTAATGAGGATGTGTAGAAAATGGAACACTTATACATAGTTAGTGGGGTTGTAAATTACGATAGCCATTATAAAAAACACTATGGAGATTCTTCAAAAAAAATTGAAAATAGAACCACCATATAATCCAACAGTCCCATTGTTGGGATTTTATCTATAGGAAAGGAAATCAGTATACTGAAGAGAAATCTGCAGTCCCATGTTTATTGTAGTACTATTCACAACAGCCAACACATGGACTCAGCCTAGGTGTCCAACATCAGATGAATGGATAAAGAAAATGTGGTGTATATACAATGTAATACTATCCAGCCATTAAAAAGAATGAAATCCTCATTTGTGGCAACAAACATGAGCCCAGAGAACAGACACAGAAAGAGAAATATTGGATGTTCTCACTCACATATGGAGCTAAAAAAAGTTGACTGCATAGAAGTAGAGAGTAGAATTGCAGTGTATAGAGACTGAAAAGGGTAGGGGGAGGTGGGGATAGGAAGAGGTTGGTTAATAATTACAAAATTACAATTTCATAGGAGGATTAAATTTCATTGTTCTATGGCACTTTGGCATGGATATAGGTAATAATTTATTGTATCTTTTCAAATGGCTAGAAGAACGTTGAATGTTTCCAACACAAAGAAATGATAAATGTTTGAGTAGATGATATGCTGATTAACCTGATTTGATCAACATACATTGTATACCTGAATTGCAACATCACTTTGTATTCCATAAATATGTACAATTATTATGTGTCAACTAAAATGAAGAAAAAAGAACTTTACAGATAATTAAGTTGGTTAATGTGATGTAAAAGCACTTGAGAGAATCAAAATCTTAAAAGCTCCAAGTAGTTGTGAATGCAATGTCTGTGACTTAAAGAAGAGGCAGAACTATACAGGTTTTACTTGACTTCCATTGTAAAAAATGACACAAAGGCTGGGACTAGTTCAGTGAAAGAGGATTGATGATGTAGACAGGAATGATTTCTGTTGAACCTTTTCCATCCTAAGTAAATTCAAGTCTTCTGATCTTGAGAGCTAACCCTGCAAGGCACAAAGAGAACTTGCAAGTAAAAAGCATTTTCTGTACCCTTTATGGAACTCTATGGACTGGAAGACATGAAAAAACTGCAAAGGAAAAAATAGATGAACTTTTTTTTTTTTTCACAAGAAAGAAGGGGTGTGTGTGTGTGTGTGTGTGTGTGTGTGTGTGTGTGTGTGTGTGTGTGTGTGTTTGAGGTAGAGATTCCTCCAAAGCAAAATTCTGGAATAAAATAACAAGCAGATGATTCAAGAAACAAGATGATCATTTAGTTGATATGGATTCACTAAAAGTGAAATATATGCCACTAAACCAAATTTCTTACTTGATAGGGTTATTTATTAAAGCAACAGATTCAGAGAGTGCTTTTATGTGTATGACTGGATCTTAATAAGGTGACTAACCATATCTTACTTGCTTGAGATAAATACGGACTATGCGATAGCTACATTAAATTTGTTACTGATTGATCAAAATTGATCAACTTGGAAGTAAATATCTGGTATTTGTCATAGGACTCTGTCCTCATATCTGTCTGCTTGACTCATCATTTTATTAATGACTAGCAAAATACATTAGTGGAAGGCCAGTGAAGTTTCAATGGGGTAAGAAACTGGAAGGTTGGTGAAAAGAGATCATGATAAATGAGTATCCCAAAATTCTTAACTGGCTTAAATGATAAACTGAACTCTAACAATATAAAATTGAAGAGAAATAAACGGAAAATTCCATGATTGGTTTAAAAAATCTAGCAGTGGAAATGAAGCTAAAAGAGTGAGTAGAACACAGTCTTGAGGGCTGTGTCTGGTCCAGCTCCAGGGTCCACCACTTACCAGCTGTGACCTCAGACATGCAAATTAAGTCCTTGTTCTTGTGTTCACTGCATCTCAGTTTCCATAGCTGTAAATTAGCAATCATAATTGCCAATTTGTCTCTTAGGTAATGTTGGGAGGATTGGATGAGTTAATATCTATATGGCACCTATATTCACCTAGCTTATAATAAACAATGTGCGCTAGTTATAAAATTGTTGTTATTAATGTTGTTGCAACAAAGAAACAGATTTCAGAGTTTTAGATAAATAAAATTTCAGTATAAATTAATGCTATAATAGGACCTACAGAAAAGCATGGGAGACTTTGCTTGCATTAATATAATTATTGCTTTAGCTTTGGTACCCCAGAAAGCAGAGACTGATGCAAACACTTATTTATATCAGGGGAGTGGGAATGAAAGGAAAGAGGAGTGAGGCTGGAAAGGAAGGAGAATCAGCATGAGAGTCCATTAAAAACTTGGCCACTGCTTGATATCAAGAAGAACTGATAGCTTTACCTCACAGAGTGTTTTCCGATAGGCTTAGGAACCACAGCATTTAAGGCTAGTCTATATGGGAGGAGAAAGAAGAAGAATTTAGCTGTGAGCTCCAGTCTTATTATGATCCAATGCCTGTCCTGGAGTGTTATACAAGTGAGCAATGAGCATATCTGCTACAAAAATAAACTATAGTATTTTTAGAATAATGATTACAAGCATCAAAATTGTGCATCTAAATAATGGAGTTAACCTGGAAAAAATTCATTATGATTGTTTTATATTTATATATTCAGTGTTTGTTTAAATTTATCCTCCACTTTCCAAGTTTCTTTGCTCCTGGTTGCTTCTTGTGTCTTGCTTCTTTTTTCCAGAAAAACATCTAGAAATTCATTTAGCTGGACTCCATTAGTGATGAAGTATGAGGGTGGCCTTCTAAAAGTTCTTGGAAAATGCATATTATGAAGAAACTATGAATGTATTTCTATTATTTTGCACCAAAATAAACCACACCTAACTTGTCATAGTGTGTCTGAACAGAACTTAGTTTGAGGTGCTAAGAAGATAAGACACTAGTTTGAAAACAGCCCCTATCAGAGCAATATAAATTCTGCTAAAATTGAAGCAAAACAAACATCAAATTTATACTGAAGCTTGGGTATAAGAATGGAGACATCATCGATGCTTTACAAAAAGTTATGAGGAAAATATCCCAAACAAACCAGCAGTTTACAGATGGGTAACTTATTTTAAGAAGGAACAAGATGGTGTTGAAGATGAAGTTCACAGAGGCAAACTATCAACATCAATTTAGAAGAAAAAAAATCAATCTTGTTTGTTCCCTAATTGAAGACCAACGATTAACAGCAGAAACAACAGCCAACACCACAAACATCTCAGTTGATTCTGCTTGCACAATTCTGACTGAAAAATTAAAGCTGAATCAACGCTCCACTTAATGAGTACCAAAACCATTATGTCCAGATCAGCTGCAGACAAGAGCAGTTTTCAATGGAAATTTTTAATAAGTAAGATCAAGATTCTGAAGCATTTTGTCAAAGAATTGTAACATGGGATGGAATATGTCTTTACCAGAATGATGCTGAAGGCAAAGCAATGGCTACCAATAGGTGGAATTTGTCCAGTCAAAGTAAAAGAGGACAGGTCAAGAGCAAAGGTCATGGCAGCAGTTTTTTAGAATGCTTAACGCATTTTGCTTGATTTTCTGGAGGGCCAAAGAATGATAACATCTGCTTATTATGAGAGTGTTTCGAGAAAGTTAAGTTTTAGCAGAAAAATGCCCAGGAAAGCTTCACCTGAGAGTTATTTTCCAGCATGATAATGCTCCTGCATATTCTTCTTATTAAACAAGGGCAATTTTGCAAGAGTTTCAATGAAAAATCATTAGCATCCACTTTACAGCCCTGCTTTGGTTCCTTCTGACTTCTTTTTGTTTTTTTTAATATTTTAAAAAATTATTCAGTTATTATTTTTAATTTTTTTTTTGAGACAGAGTTTTACTCTTGTCGCCTAGGCTCGAGTGCAATGGCGTGATCTCAGCTCACTGCAACCTCTGCCTCCTGGGTTCAAGTGATTCTTCTGCCTCAGCCTGCCTCCCAAGCAGCAGGGATTATAGGCACATGCCACCACGCCCAGCTAATTTTGTATTTAAGTTTCATGTTGGTCAGGCTGGTCTTGAACTCCTGATCTCAGGAGATTCACCCTCACCTGCCTCTCAAAATGCTAAGTTTACAAGTGTGAGCCACCGTGCCTGGCTTGTTTTTTAACCTTAAAAAAGTCCATAAAGGGCACACATTTTCTTAAGTTAATAATGTAAAACAGACTGAATTGTCATGGTTAAATTGCAAGGATTCTCACTTCTTTAGGAATGGGCTAAATGACTGGTATCATCACTTCCCAAAGTGTCTTGAACTTCACAGAGCTTATGTTGAGAAATAAAATTCATTTTTAAAAAATTTTAATCATTCTATGCCAGTTTTCTATGAACTATTTGAAGTCCCTTCATATGGTTGAAGAATCTCTGAGTCAGAAGCAATTTTACAATTCCAGAATTCATCTGATATACTAATCTCCCTTAGCAAAATTATCCCCAAGTGGTTCTTGTGCTTCTGCTTAAACAACTCCAGCAATGGAGAGCTCACTCTCTCACAAGTCAGGAATTCTATTCTGAGACAACTCATTTCAGAAAGTTACAATGGTAAAGTATATCCATAGATGTAAAATGTAATGAGAAAAAAAAATAATACAAGGGATTGGTCACTTTATTAAAAAAAAAAAAAAAAAGGAATGATCCACCAAAAGTCCCTCTTGGAAAGATTCATTTACTATAGAATGTACATTGCC